TCTCAGCCCTGGTCTGGCGGAAACACTGGTGTGAAGCGTCAAATATTTCATTTATAACTTTCAGATTAAGACTTCTTCAGTTGTATTTATGCGTACATTTACTAACTGTTTATCAGTATATTAGAATAATGTTGCTTCACATTTAGCTCTGGTTTATTTAAGGTTTTATTCAACATAATACCTTATTATCTCAATGAAATCTTCCGTAACTTATGGATGTGTGACACACAAAAGCAATTCATTGTTTCAGCCGGTAAAATAAATACTTGACTGAAGGATATTGGGTGTGATTGGTCAACCGCTTGGAGATGTCCCGCCCCTTAGCCTATCACATACAATGTGTCGGAGCGCTAGCCAATAGGAGTGTCATTATGTTCCTGAAGTAAACAAAGGAGTCCAATGGAGGCGTTTCAGGCAGGGGGGGATTTTAGCCTTTGTAGACCATTTACATGCACACAAATCTATAAACCGCTACAGGAAAGGGAACACCCCAAAAAGCAGAATAGGGCCTCTTTCATTTTTCCTAAAGATAGAAACTGTTTGGTGAGATTGTTTTTGAGTGTTCTTCTCTCTACAAAACATCCGATAGTTTAGCAGTATAGGAAAAACCAACATTATCTTTTCCACCATTACACAACCACATTTGTTTGCACATGATTGAAAAATTAGGCAATCCTCTAAGTAGCCATTTTATGATTTAGGCTCACATAACAGGAAAGCTGTGTGTATTATTCAGGATCACTCCATTTGGTTTTATCAGTCTTTGGAAAGTTTCTATGAAAACAAACGTTAAAATGGACATCATGATTTTGTAAAGCGTGCAAACATCTGTTAGGTTCTTTTTTTCCCTCGGCCTGCTTTTTCGGGCATATCTCAGACTCTAACGTTTCTTATTTTTCAGTTTGAGAAAATAAACTGTCTCTGCTCGGATGATTAAAGTGATAAACTGTGGGGGCTCGGTGCTTTCAGGACTCGACCCGGGATCATGTTACCAAAGCAGGGCAGTGATTTAAACCAGGTTCCTGTTTCCCAAAGGGGGGTTTACAGTGTGCACAGAATACATTACTGATGCTACATGATCCACCATTAGACCAAACTTTACCCAGCTGCTGTCTCTGTTATTCACACTTTAATATATTTCACTTTTCTGCAGGAACCTTGATTTCTGGCTGTCGTCCAGCTACTCTGACTCACACCTGAAATATCTCGGCACGTCTTCAAAGAGTTTCCACTAAACAAATCGGCCATCTTTCTGTAAAGCTGTCGACCTGTCAGTCTGTTAGAGTGACCACACTGTCAGTCATTTGGGCGTGGAGCGAAGTTAACTTGCAGTTGTACAAAGAAGTGATGGTACAATGATTTGAAGGCTAATGACAGAGTAGTGTTAGCCCCACATGGTTATGTACTGACGCAAACTGCTGTACAGTAGATTGTGGTGTTGAAAAACCACAATCTTTTTGCTGCTCCTATGGATGAACCCAATGGTCCTCTTTCCTCTGTTATAGGTGGACAACAGGGGGCCCATTATAGTGTTTGATAAGACTCTTAAAGTGGTTGGTTTGATCTCTAAAGATGAATCAGACTTGAGTCTGAAAGAGATTTCATTCGTCAAAATCGACAAAGGGGGGCCAGAGATATGGAAAAACCCCCATTTCCACCCAAATGACCCTAGAAGTGTTTTTTTGTTGCTAAATCTCTCTAAAAAGGTCAAATGTCACTTGTTTTTGCATCAATCTTGATACAGGGTACTTATTATATGTTGTACTTTGGATTCCTAAAGCTTTTAGTCTACCTTACCATCATCCAAGGGTAGTTTTCACTATAAGTAAAAAATAATCTTTGGACGGACCACTATAATTTACAGTTTTTTTACTATGTTCAATCTGAATTTTCTTTAAAAATAAAAAACATCTATATTGATTCTGACTTTTCTACATCCAACTCAAAGGTTTATCATTACTTTGAGAAAAAAAGATTATTAATTTTCCCCTTTTAGAAGGGAAGATATGGTCATTTGTTCTGGGAATGTCATTTTCGAGCCTGAGACCTGGAAAACAGGCTCGGGGGTCAACAGGTTGAATAATTGGAGCTTGAACTCATTGACTGCAGTAAGCATGGACCTCGTCATGTGATTCACAAGAACAGGAAGTGTGTCGTGCCCCCTTTAGTTTATTGTGGATTAGTTCATATGAGAGCCTGCTATTATTGAAGGCAGCTTCACCTCGGTCAGGAAATCAGAGATATCCGTAGTGAAGAACAAACAAACCTATACTCTGTTCTCTGTTAGTGTTCTGCTAAGTTCTCTGAGATCTAAGTCCTTTAGTGTTGGAACCTTGCCAGGCAGAGTGTTATCCTTGGATGGAGAGAAGTTGTTGTAGTGAAAAGTTGCTTAACACGTTATCCTATCACCAATATCAACGTCATACAGTCCTGCTGTCTGTGGGAGTGAATAACACACATGCTCATTACACCATTTGTGGTTAGAGTTTTCTCTGTTTTGGTGTCCTGGTTGCTATCATCAAGCGGAAGGATTCAGTTTCTGCGCAGCATCTGCAGACGTTGCATACGGTAAACTCTCAGTGGTGAAGTTATTTATAAGTGTTGTGATAACAATGCACAGCAGGGTTTTTGTACATGTCCAAACCCTGTACCCGGGCCCATGTGTTTCATTAAGCAGTGGAAATATTCTTGTCTTTATTTTTAGATACAAGGAAAACCACAAATTGGAAACTATCTACATTCACTACATTGAAGCACTTCTCTCAGTAGAATGTCCAAGAATCCAAATATCTAGTATATAGTTTACTTTATAGTTTGTTTAGTTGTGTTTTAGCATAGCAACTATCACTTCTCTTATCACTTATCTGAGGACAGCAACTACAGGGTTTCTCACCTTACAGTTTGTGATTTCTCACCCACATATCTCGTCTGATATTTCCACATTTCATTGGTGATTGCTAAATATTTTGTGTGGTTTCTTTTCACACTGTACTCTACAGAGTTGAACATATTTCTATGATGAACCACTGATTACAAAGAGAGATGTTAAGGCAACTTCATGGCACACAGCCTTCACAAATACTCTGGTGATCATTTATAATCTCTGTATTCTATCAAATGTATTTTTCTTGTAGTGCCTCTTGCATCTAGCCTAACATAAGACAAACATCTCCAGCAGAGTTAAATTATGTCCAGATTGTCCAATCCAAAGGATGAGCTTCCCATGAGGTCGGAGATTTTGTTTGAAAAGCAACTATTTTGTTTGCATTTTAAAATATTTGCTCTAAGCTGCGATGAGTCATTGTTTAGGCTTTCAGAGAGGTTTGTATTGGAACGCTTTCATTATCTCGCTGTGTTTCCTCTGGCATTACATTAGTGCTGAGTGTTTGTTGAAGAGAATAGCTCATTGTCAGTCAGTCCCTCCTCTCTTATACCAAATGTTGTAACTACAGAGGGGTTTTTAGCTGTTGCCCCAGGAAGCCTCCTTTTACCCTGGTGTAATGCCAATATGAAAAACAGAATTTATGAATTAGCTACAGAATATTTGTGAGGCCTTTGTCCTATCAAGTTTGCTAAACATATGAATAAAAGGTTGTTATATTTGCACATTTTCACTGCACTGTTATCACGTCCGAATGAACTCATGATAATGATATTATTAGGGTTGCAAAATTCCGGGAATTTTCAAAGATGGAAACTTTCCATGGGAATAAACGGGAATTTATGGGAATAAACGGGAATAAACTGGGAATTTTCAAAATTGAAGGTTGGCTCTTCATAGGGAACTTAAATATAGTTGGGGAAAGTATATTTTAGCATAATCTTGACTAAAACAAACAGATGGCATTCAAGTACACTTGAATATCCATGCCATTCCTCAATCCCATGCACATAGCACACTGCTTACTGCATGGCTATTGAGACCACACCCCCTACAGGCACTGTGCATTCCTCCATCACATGCACATAGCACACTGCTTACTGCATGGCTATTGAGACCACACCCCCTACAGGCACTGTGCATTCCTCCATCACATGCACACATGATTTCTACAAGACTGGACCACACTCTTGAGCCCAAAGCACATTTTTGAATGAGTGGGGTTGGGGGGATGAGTAATATTTAACTCAACATTCATGTTTTTGTTCTTCAATGAAACAAATGATTGTTCAATAAAATAATGAAAACTTGTTCTGTTCTACTTACAAATAAATCTGTTGAAATGTCATGTTTTTTAATTGTATCATTTTGCATGGATGTTTTCTTATGACAAAATAAAAGTTTTATATTTATGCTTGGATATGATACAATTCAATTACATTACCCTAAATTCCCAGTTAGTTCCCATAAATTCCCATGGAAAGTTTCCACTATGGAATCTTTCCAAATTCCCCAGCTTAACTTCCCATGGAAATTTACCGGAAATTTACCGGAAATGTTCCGCCCCTTTGCAACCCTAGATATTATCACTAAATCTATAGAAAATTTGAAATGAATAATAATGCTACGAATTAAATACATCTTCAGCTTTGTTTACTGTTTGATTAAACCAAAATAAAAATGGTGTTGTAAACATCTGCATTTTGTGATTTTCTCTGTTTCTCGTTTATTCTTCATACTGTATTTGCACATTCCTACACTTTCATATTCTTTAATATATTTGTTTGTACTTTTATATATATATTATTGCATTTTTGTTTTTGTTGAATTTTACATATTTGTATTTTTTTGTACAGATTTTATATAAAATATTGTTTTACTTTTTCCTAAGGTCCTATACTTTTTTAATAATTTCTGAGTAAAAAATCTAATTCATTTGATTTGTTATGCTCTTTGGCTTTTGCATTTTTGCTTTTATTTATATTTTATTGTAAAAAAAAGACTGTACGTGAAACATTTTAAGCAAAGTAACACCCCTAATGGAAATGATCAGCCTCCCTTGTCAGTATAAAAGCAAAGTGACCTATGACCCCTGATGATAATGTCCGTGTGTCTGCAGGTGCTGCGTGGTGAGAGGAGGCGCTGGGCGCGGCATGCTGAGGCCACTCCCCCTGGCCCAGGATGAGTGTCAGAGATGGCGCTGCCACCATGGCAACGAACGCAGGTGGAGGAGGGGGGGGCGGCGGTCCAGCTAGCCCCATCGACCTGGAGGACCGCTCGTACCTCCTGCAGATCTACCCCCGACTCGCTGCTCAGACCCTGACCTGCTGCAACCTCAGGTGAGACGGCCACAGGAGGGAGAGGGTTGAGCATTTGTGTACATCGATCTGGGAGTTATTGTTGTGCTTTTATTTATGTCTTAAAGGTCACCTATTATGCAAAATCCACTTCTTCCTGTCTCTTCTTCATCAACATGTGTCCCCTCTTCTTCATGTCTCTTCTACATCAACATGTGTCCCCTCTTCTTCCTGTCTCTTCTACATCACCTTTTGTCCCCTTTCTTCATGTCTCTTCTACATCAACATGTGTCCCCTCTTCTTCATGTCTCTTCTACATCAACATGTGTCCCCTCTTCTTCATGTCTCTTCTACATCAGCATGTGTCCCCTCTTCTTCATGTCTCTTCTACATCAACATGTGTCCCCTCTTCTTCCTGTCTCTTCTACATCAGCATGTGTCCCCTCTTCTTCATGTCTCTTCTTCATCAACATGTGTCCCCTCTTCTTCATGTCTCTTCTACATCAACATGTGTCCCCTCTTCTTCATGTCTCTTCTACATCAACATGTGTCCCCTCTTCTTTCATGTCTCTTCTACATAACATGTGTCTCCTCTTCTTTCACGTCTCTTCTACATCAACATGTGTCCCCTCTTCTTCATTGCCTCTTCTACATCAACATGTGTCCCCTCTTCTTCATGTCTCTTCTACATCAACATGTGTCCCCTCTTCCTCATGTCTCTTCTACATCAACATGTGTCCCCTCTTCTTCATGTCTCTTCTACATCAGCATGTGTCCCCCTCTCTTCATGTCTCTTCTACACAACATGTGTCCCCTCTTCTTCACGTCTCTTCTACATCAACATGTGTCCCCTCTTCTTCATGTCTCTTCTACATCAACATGTGTCCCCTCTTCTTCATGTCTCTTCTACATCAACATGTGTCCCCTCTTCTTCATGTCTCTTCTACATCAACATGTGTCCCCTCTTCTTCATGTCCTTTCTACACCAACATGTGTCCCCCTCTTCTTCATGTCTCTTCTACATCAACATGTGTCCCCTCTTCTTCATGTCTCTTCTTCATCAACATGTGTCCCCTCTGTGTAAAGAGATTCTGAAGTTTCAGGAACAAAGATTCTCCTCTCTTTTTGTCCTGATCCATTTCTATATAACCTGTCTGAAATGAGCTGATCAGATTTTGGCCACTTTATGATGTCATAACGATTGTTTTGTCTTGTTATAACCATTAGCCAATCAGCAACCAAGGTAACCCCCCCCCACCTTATCACCTGAATCTCCTCCGAGAGCACCATTGAGTTCTTTCAAACCAAATATCTCTCAGAGGGGCGTGGGGAGGGGCTCCTTATTTTCATCTAAAGTAAACAGACAGAGAATCAGCACTTTGGAAACAGGGCTGAAACAGAGGGATTATGGGATGCTGCAATGATCTGGTTGGTGTTTGGAGCCCAAAACACTTCAGAGACATGTTCTGTATATATTTGAGACCTATAATATATTGATGAAAAACAGTATGATAGGGGACCTTTAAAAGAAGAACTACTGTACCCAGCATAGATCAAACTAAGTTATTTATTTATTTGTTCTTCCTCAGAGTTCAGAAAGATGCAACAACGGCCTCCGTGATCTCGGACGCTGCGGCGGCTCTCGGGCTGGACCCCGGACGCTTGTATGTGCTGGCGGAGGTGAAGGAGTGTGGGGGGGAGGAGTGGGTCCTGGAGGCCGGAGACCTGCCGGCTCAGAGGTTCCTGCTGTGGCCCCGAAAAGCCCAGGAGACGCACCCCCGCAGCCTCGGATTCTACTTCTTACTACAGGTAGAGTTCACTTTGCAGACCGACATCCTGAGAAACATCGTCCCACCGTCTGACACTTGCTTTTTGCTTCCTTCTGCTTTCTCTTCCTCTGTGGAGCCATGTTCAGTGAGGAACAAAAACAAGCAGTCAAGCTAGATAACACTTTCTTTACACAAAGAAAAAGCAGTTAACCTAGCTACATTAAAAGTATTTTCCAATATAATTTCATCCCTTTTAATACAATGCTATTTGAGACTGTGCTTAAAGGAATATTCACAAACAAAAGGACCATTTGTGTATAAATAACTCACCCTATGTTACCTTGAACCCCTAATGAAAACTTTGTTTTTCGGGCGAAACCTCACTGATAAGTGAAGAATCAAAAAATGGAGAACATTTGAAAGAATTGAAGTAAATGAGGGTTAAGTTTAACAACAGCAAAACTATATCAAAACATCGGTTTCTCACACAACTATTTCAATATAATCCGAGTTTCAATTATCCAGTTGTATTCTAGCTACTTCCCAAACACATGCATTTGAACTAATATCTTACTTACGGGAGGCAGTGGCGCAGTGGACTAGAGCATTGGTGTTGGGATCAGGGGAGCACAGGTTCAAACCCCACTGCAGTCAGCATGTCGTTGTGTCCCTGAGACACTTCACCCCAAATTGCTCCTGTGGGGATTGTCCACAGTATTGAGTATGTAAGTCGCTTTGGATAAAAGCGTCTAACAAGTAACAAGTAATGTAATAATAACTTATAAAACACTTCTGCATACAAATATCTTTTTTTCCAAAGTGTTTTAAATACTGAAGTGTATAGCAAAAATGCATGTGATTGGGAATGACTGAGAATACAACTGGATAAATAAGACTTAAATTAGGCTTGCAAGAATACATATAGTTGGGAAATTAACTTTTTTACACATTTTTGAAAATGTAACAAAGAGAATATTTGTATTTCTCTCAGACATAGAGTGTATCAGTCTCAGCACTTAATGGCTAAGCTAATTTCAGCTCTTTCTGTTTCCCTCCCTGAACCAGGAGAGGAACCATGATGGCACCATCCACTATGTCCCACCTCCCTCCTGTGTCTAAGGAGCAGGAGGCGCAGCTCGCAGCCAGAGGCTTCCTTCCTCCTCCACAGGACGACTTCGCAGACCTGTGCAACCTCCCCGCCCTCAATGAGGACAGCATATAACAACCTGCGCACACGCTTTCACAAGAAGAAGATCTACACCTATGCAGGGCAGCATCCTCATCGCCATCAACCCCTTCAAGTTCCTGCCCATCTACAACCCCAAGTACGTCAAGATGTACGAGAACCACCAGCTGGGCAAACTGGAGCCTCATATCTTTGCCATCGCGGACGTGGCTTACTACGCCATGCTCAGGAAGAGAGTGAACCAGTGCATCGTCATCTCCGGGGAGAGCGGCTCCGGAAAGACCCAGAGCACCAACTTCCTGATCCACTGTCTGACTGCGCTCAGCCAGAAGGGGTACGCCAGCGGGGTGGAGAGGACCATCCTGGGAGCTGGACCCGTGCTGGAGGTAATGATGCTAAATGTCGTGGATCCGATGTAACACTCACAACATTAAAGGTCACCTATTATGCAAAATCCTCTTCTTCATGTCTCTTCTACATCAACATGTGTCCCCTCTGTGTAAAGAGATTCTGAAAGTTTCAGGAAAAAAGATTCTCTCTCTTTTTCTCCTGATCCATTTCTATAAAAACCTGTCTGAAAATGAGCTGATCAGATTTTGGCCACTTTATGATGTCATAATGATGTTTTGGCTTGTGTAACCCATTAGCCAATCACCAACCAAGGTAACCCCCCCCCCCCACCTTATCACCTGGAATCTCCTCCTAGAGCACCATTGTGTTCTTTTTAACCAAATATCTCTCAGAGGGGCGTGGGGAGGGGCTCATTATTTTCATCTAAAGTAACAGACAGAGAATCAGCATTGTTGAAACAGGGCTGAAACAGAGGGGATTATGGGATGCTGCAATGATCTGTTTGGTGTTTCAGCCAATCAGAGACATGTTTGTATATATCTGAGACCTGTAATATATTGATGAAAAACAGTATAATAGGGGACCTTTTAAAGATTAAGACAAAGAGGAATCAATAAAACACAGACACAGAGATGGTTGAAGTTAAATATGATATTGCTGTACAGCAGTATAATGAGACACATTACCTTGCACTAAAGCAGCCAATAGCGTAATGCCCTATAGACCAAGAGAATCTTACAGCTTATACACGCCTCAAACTGCATGCGTAGTTGACCTCTGACCTGAACAATATTGTACTGCTTTTTCTGTCTCCTCTGTCTTTAATAATCCCAGTTTCCATTAACCTTTTCTGCTGATACTTCACATGCCAATGCAGACAACTGTTGGTCATAGAAATAGATCGCCCTCCTTCCAGTAAACTAAATGAATAGTATGGCTTAAAACACATGATTATATAAAACAGATTCTACACTAACATGTGGGACAGATGGTTTTTTTGTAGCATATATCTCCTGTGATACCTTTGGCCGACAACCACATGATGTTTGGTTTTAGTTCCTCTTGAAATTGCTCCTAGCTGTTACCCTCATATAAACTCTATATACTGGGTTAGCTATTTCGAATTGGTTAATGAGCTGATCTTTCACTCAGAGTCAACTGTGCGATACCCATGTTCAAAGTGTCCTTGGGGAAGATTTGAACCCCCAAATTGCTCCCGTAGGCATTGTCTACAGGATGAAGTTGCATCATCAACGTGATGTCTCAAGAATGAGGTTTTTAACGTTCATGTGGCACACAACGGGAGGATGTCTGTGTCGGAAGCTTTCTTACTTAATGGAAATACTCCTTTTTGGTTTTGGCACACACAAGGTAAGTGTGCACAAGGTGTGGAATAAACGGTAGACGTGTAGCTATTTGTGAATGTGGTCAAATCTCTTTGCGTTCCCTGGATTTGTGTGATTCGTTTGCCGTTGGTTCTTACAGACAGAAGTTCCCGAATCCCGTTGTCTCTCTCTCAAATTTTTGTTTGCCATCTGCAATCGAGACGTCTTCAACATGTCACTGATTTGTGTTAAATTCTCCTGACAGTTAGCGGATCTGTTCACACATGGGCCTCAATGTATCTAATACCTAATATATATATATCCTTCCAATAACTTGTATATAGACTCGTACTGCACTATTCCACATCATCACTTTATTTTATTTTATAACTATTATTCTTTTTGTATTGCTCTTGCTCTTATTGTTATTATGTTATTATGTTGCATTGTTGGAGAAGCCTGTGACATAAGATTTTCAACTACATAATTACTCTGTAGCTATGTCAGATTGACAATAAAGAACCTTGAACCTGAACCTTGAATTGGACATAAACTAAAAAACGTTGTACTAGTGCGCTGGCAGTCTCAAGTCTCTTTGAGGTTTGCGTTCTTGCATACAGATCCTCTGAATAATGTCTAAATAAATCAGGGTGTGAAAGAGGCCCTAGTGACCTGCTCTGGGGGTCAATGTTTGTGAAAAGATGAGAGATGAGTTCGTTAAAAAGGGCCAGTGTCTGTCTGTAAGGACTCAACAAAAGGAAAAATCCATGATACTGTAGATTGTGTCGTCACAGTCTGTCGCATAGGAATCATATCATATAACAAATGTTCTGTTATAGCAATCACCGCATGTATTTCCTGCACTGTCTTCACTCAGCTGTGAAATGCTTTGCTCAACAATGACATTACATCCTCAAAGGTGACTCATCACCATGTTGCTATGGCATGGAAGATACACATGATGTTATATAGTTATGACTTTGTGAGATTATTTTATGGAACAATATAGATATTTCATTGGTTCTGAATGTTAAAACATCCCCATGAAAGTATTATATCCCATGCAGTACGGAGGAAATGTATTTTCAGGCTGTAACTCCTTTGCACTTCCTGTGGGGGCTGAACTGTTGAGACATATGTGAGTCTGTGTGCAGTTTAAAGGACTTAACGTAAAGAGTCTACTCAGAAAGAAGAAATGAAAAAGAGGATGGGAAGTTGCTGTATGAACTACGTCATGTGGTCGCCCCCCTGTCTTTGCAAAAGCTGTGGGAAGCCAGATAAGATAGGGCTGTTTTAAAAAATATATATACCTACTTTTAGAGTTGAGATTTCAGGTAATGGTCGACTCGTAATGTTGTTTTCTTCGGGTCACATCATGGGGTTTGTTTTGACCTATTAGTTAATGAACAACAAGCATTTATTGGAGCTTTTGTTGACCAAAGCTTTTATTTCTTTGTTGCCGTTTGGATCAGGTGGCTGCACCTCTTCCTGCTTTCAGAGAAATAAAAACCTTGTTCTGACTTGTCCTCTGCAACCAGTGACAGGACGATATGAAGCAAACAGCCAAACCCTTTCACAAAGCTTTGTTACAATGATTACACATTTGAGAGCTAGTTGGAAATATATATCAATGAATCATCCAAAACTAAGGATTTCATGTTACTATGTAGAACAATACATGTAGAAAGAATAACAAAGCTTTATTTGTATAGCAGTACAATTTGGTACACAAGGCAAACAGAAAATAGGATAACATGTAAGACATAGCATGTGTACAAGATACACACATGATACATACATGACTAAATCGTAAGCAAGAAGGTACATATTTGATGTATACATAATTAAACCTATTATGCAAAATCCACTTGTTCATGTCCTCTTCTACATCAACATGTGTCCCCTCTTCTTCATGTCTCTTCTACATCAACATGTGTCCCCTCTTCTTCATGTCTCTTCTACATCAACATGTGTCCCCTCTTCTTCATGTCTCTTCTACATCAACATGTGTCCCCTCTTCTTCATGTCTCCTAGAGCACCATTGTGTTCTTTGTAACCAAATATCTCTCAGAGGGGCGTGGGGAGGGGCTCCTTATTTTCATCTAAAGTAACAGACAGAGAATCAGCACTTTTGAAACAGGGCTGAAACAGAGGGGATTATGGGATGCTGAAATGATCTGTTTGGTGTTTCAGACAAACACTTCAGAGACATGTTTTGTATATATCTGAGACCTGTAATATATTGATGAAAAACAGTACTGTATAATAGGGGACCTTTAATATTGGGTAAAGAATAAACACAATACAATGACAACCTACTAGTAAAGTAAGAACTGCAGTGCTGGATGTTTGCACAATGCCATCTGGTTGATAATTATGGTTACAGTTCTGATGTCTGGCGGTGGACAGACTCACTGACCAGCCGTCTGTTTGAGTCGTCTGCACTCTGAGCAGACTGGGAGTCTCCCTCTCTTTGTCGTCTCCAGAGAGAAGCTGCCTCACTGCGACACAGAGGAACAGACTATCAGATGAAACACACCATCAAAAGCTTTCCTCTCTCATGCATTTACCTTCAATTAGCATGTTTTAGAGTCATCATGAACTAAATCAAAACATAGTCACTTACATATTTGCGTTTCCTGTCAGCAGTTTTATTTGTTGTCCCTCTTGAAGTGATGACTTAAATAACAGTGTATTAGAAACAGATACTGTCTGGGCTGTTACCATTAAAGGAAGGCTTCTTCATGTAAAGCTGTAGTGACACAATAACACAGTTTGCATAAAGCATGAAGATATATTAAAGGTCACCTATCATGCTATTTTTAGGCAATAGCATAGGTCTCAGATATATACAAATATATAAAAAACATGTCTATGAAGTGTTTCGCTCAAAATACCAAACAGATCACCCATTCTAGCCATGCCCTCATATCCCTCTATTTCACTTCCTGTTTCAAAAGTGCTGATTTGGGGTATAAAGCTTTAAAAAAATAAAAGAATTGATAAAAAATAAAAAAGGAGGGGGCTGAGCTCATGCGGGACCCGGCAGCTACTGTCTAAACTAAATACTGCCGTGATGAAATGCCATATCATGGATTATCAAGGATTCTTTCTGAAACAGTATGGAGCTCAAAGGCTTTCTCTCTTGCCGGTTATACCACAAGGTGAGCTCCTTTTTATTTCCTGCTTCTTCACACACATGCTCTCCAGTACAGGTTAGCTCTGAGTGTTAGCGATGCTAATGTAAACACCGACCATATTACGTCCAAAACAGTCGGGCATTGTTTCTGATGGCAACGTTCTGATAGTGCCGTGGGTCCACATTTCAGATATTACGTCATATCGGACGCAAATCTGGATCAGCTCCGTTGTACCCCCGTTTTTAGAGATTTGAGTACGGAGGAAAAGAGAGGGGGTTTTATTTTCTGACGCTGCGTGAGTTCCCCAACACACCGGGGACACATAGTTATGTATAAAAGACATCAAAAAGTGCATTTTGCATGATAGGTCCCCTTTAAGTATCAACATACATAACTGCCACAAAAGCTGAAAAATAAGCAAAAAAACGTAAAATAATGCATTTCTTGATTCTAAGGATTTGACAATCAAAGCAGCGGGTCTTCAACATTTGACAGGAGCTTCCACCCTGGAGTTTTGTATTTTTATTTATTTATTTAAGAATGGACAATGCACATGAGCATTTGAGACCA